GAACATCTTGCGACTTCATGCCTTGGCTTTCTTGTTGGATCTTCTTGTTCTTTCATCTTCATGGTGCAACAATTGGATTCGTCTTATTCGCAACAGCCTCCCCATACTCCAAAGTTTCTGAATCCGTCGTTATGCTCGTCTCTTCGGATTCGTCTTACTTTCCTAACGGCTTCTTCTGCTTTCGTCACGTACTGAGGGATACTCTGTAGTTGTAGGGTTGGGGTGTTTTTGGTCGGAAAGGTTGTTATACTTTTCTCAACTAGGATCTTCAACTTTCTTAAATAAAAGCTGTAGCTTCTTCTTAAATAAGAACTGTAGCTTCGTCCTAAATGGAAGGGAACACTAGGAGACCTTAAATCTCAGCCACTTGGTTGAGTCTCAAGAAATCAAAGAAATCTGCACCAGTAGTTACTTTAGTAAGTCCGTTTGACTTGTTCAATTTGGTACTGTGCCAAATTGGTTTTATGAGTCGTCTAGTACAGAAGTCCTTAATCATAGCGTCCCTGATGTCGATATGTTTCAATCGACTAGCAACTCCAGTCTTGTTCTCTGAATATTTGATCGATCCAGAGTTGTCACATCCTAACTCAACAGGTAGCACTATAGATGATTCATCAAAGAATTGAATCCAGAATGATCTCAAACTTGTCAAGACGTAGTGAAACCTCATAGCCATCTTCGCGGCTTCTGACATCCCATACAGCTCAGCTTCGCTGACACTACTAGCAACACTATGCTGACTAGCGCTTTTCCAGGCAATAGGGTTTCCGTTGAGGTTGATCACTATGCCTGAGATTGAGCGTCTACCCCCAAAGGATGCCCAGTCGCTGTCTGACCAAGCTGTAAGGATGAGCTTTCCTTTGAACTCATGTGAACGGTTTTTATACATCAAAGCTCTTCGGGTTCGCAAGTATCTGATAATCCTTTTCAAGCTTGCTAAGCTTTCCTCAGTTGCTTTCACTTTCGCGCACATCTTCAATGGCACTACGATGTCTAACCTTGTTAGACACAAGTATTGCAAACTTCCCGTAAGTTCCTGCTTAGCCTTCAACAGGCTAGGCACTTCAGGTAAGCCAATACTTGGAGCGCTTTCCATTGGTGTGCTCACCTTCTTTCCACTATCCCCGCCAAAGCGCTCAAGTAGTTTGCTTACGTAGGTGTCTTGGGATAGTGTTACGTTACCACTTCGTTTGCACTCATGCAACTCTATTCCGAGAATGTCAGAGATCCTATGAGTAGCAGTCTCCCGCACTGGCTCTGGTTGAAGCTTAAGTGCGGACTGCATCTCATTATGTACGATCATGACTTCTTCCTTCTTTCCAAAGAAATAGAAGTTATCCACAAAGACACACAGTAAAACTCCTCGCTTAGTCCAAAGTGTGCTTTCTAGTGGGTTTTGTTTCCAGCCAAACTGCGTGAGAGTTTTATCTCGATGCGTTTCCCAGGCTTTAGAAGACAATCTCAACCCGTTCATAGCATACTTGACTTTTCCTAACTTGTATCCAAGGAGTTCTTCTAACCTGTGGTCTAGTTCGATGACAACTGGCACGGGATATGGAGCTTGGAGAAATGCACTTGTAGCATCGGAAGGAAAGACGAAAATGGATGGACTTTGGCACTTCATAGCAACGAGCATGCGCAAGATCGCTAGATCAGGCACAGAGGCATACTTATCTGCGTTGCCGGACATTTTGCCCAAGAAACCAAGACACACGATCCGCGCTTTTTTCCTGCCACATCTCTTCACACTTAGTAGCATCTTACAAGGGACGTTTCTGCTTCCTGTTTTCTTCCAGTTTCTCAGATCTTCGTCTGTTGCTCTTCCAAACGCATGGGAGTGTGCTTTCAACTCTTTCATAATAGCTTCTTGCCATTCTGGTGTAGAAGTGTCAAAGCCGGACTCATGGTCTGGGATAGCCACAGCTTTGAATACTTTCTCACCTGGCTCCCAATCATCACAAACGAGCGGGGCAACGACTGCAAGCAGTCCAAGCTCGTTGTGGATTGTCTTCTTCAAGTCGTCACTGTTCTTCACTTTTTCATACACACTCGACGCTACTTTTTCGAGTTGTTGCTTCTTGAGATCCGAATACTCTGGCTGCGCCATGATGATATTCCGGATTTGCTCAAGAGCACTCTCTCGCGCTTCTTTCTTCTTCTTCCAAGCGCCTCTCACTCCTGACGGCACTTCCTCCTTCTCCCGCACTTCTCGTAGCTTTTTAGCTTCTTTCACTTTCAAGTCCTCAAAGACTTTGTCTGTGTAGCTTTTCGTCAGCCTGAACCTTTTTGATGGCAAGACTTCATCTTGCTCGCGTTGCGAAGGAATAGTGCCCTTATCCCCGCCAGAATCGACATCCTTTGCCGACCCATCATGTGGAGTAGGATTCGGGTTCTCACCCGGCACCCGTTCGACATGATCTGCTTCTTCAAAAAACTCTAAACCTTTTTCTTCATCGGGGCACACAGGTGAATGTGGCCCGTCTTTTCCAATCTTCATTTGGATGGCTTGTTCAACAAACTCGCCATTTCTGGTTTCCTTCTGCTCACTTGGTGGAACATTGTGAGTCTTGTACAGTACGCGGAGAAGTTGCGGAGGAATGCTCATCTCATCAAGCGTTAGGTGCTGTCTCACATGAGATTCATGCACTCGCTTGAAGCATCCATCGTAGTCGACTATAAATGTCAGACTATCCCTGTTCACTTGTCTGAAGATCAACTTTGCAGGTCCCATCCATGCTTGCTTGTCCTTGTCGTAAATGTCTACCAGATGTCCAACTTCCAGACAAGCCGACTCTGGATAGGCATTACGCTGTCTTTCAGCCAGCTTCTTCATCTCTTCGATGGTCTTCTTGTCGTATTTCCAGGCTTCAACTTCTTGCCTTGCCTTCATCCTTATAATCTGATCTGCTTCGGGGTCTAGTTTATCTAACAGGACCAGTTGCTGGGTCGTCATATCTTCAGGACAGTCTAACTCCATCTTCCAAGGGTTTATAGCCCACTGAACCATATAAGGACATAACCCTTGAAGTGACTTAGTAGGAGTAGCGTTAATCGCGTTTGCCGTCTGTTCAACTAGCCTCGGGATTATGCTGGCTTTCTGTCCATATATGTAGTAGAGCTTGTGCAAAACTCCGCGGAAATATCTGTGTCGACGTTCACAGATACCGTTAACCCAACTAGATTTAGGGATTAGGAATAGGCCAATACTATTCAGTTGACAATACTCCCTTACCTCGTGATTGTCAAACTCCTTACCCTGGTCGCACAGAATGTTACGTCCTAAGAATCCTCGAGTTTTGCACGTCTCTAGGAGCTCTACTGTGTCCTTTCCCTTGACACCACTTCTAGACAAGGTTTTAGTTACACTAGCCCGACTGAACAAGTTAATACCGTGCAAGACAGCATAATCCTTACCGAGGGGAAAGAACGTGTCAAAAGAGGTCCAATCGTGCAGACTTGCTGCGTCGATTCCTCCTGACCTGTGGTGCGGAAACGCGTGCGCTTTTAGCCTGTTAAGGTTATGTCTACAGAAGTGAACTACCCAAGCTTTAGCTTGTGGAGAGTTGTCGATTGTCCTGACGACTTCCCACAATTTCTGAAATGTCGGAAAGACTAAACTAGCCCCTATGTTGCAGATATACTCGTAGCTGATCTTCGGCTTAGGATAGTCCGCAGGTGGGTCCAACTTTCGACGCTTCACCGCTGGTCGTATCCTTTTAGTTTCCGAGTCACTACTCACGTTGGCTCTTCTCTTTTTCTTTGGCTTCTTCTTCTTCTTCTTGTTACTTTTTCCTTCTTCATTTGAGCCTTCTTGCTCATTAGTGCTCTCCAGCTCTATCCCTTCATAACCAGTGTCATCTACCACTTCGTCTTCTTCTTCTTCTTCTACTTCATTTTCAACTTCATCATCAAGATCGTAGTCTTCTTCTTCAGCTTCTTCTTTTTGAGCTACGCCGACACTACTGCAGTCTTTATCGTTTCCGAAGTTGACTGTATCCAGTAGGCCCGTACTCTTCACTTCATCCATCAGTAGAGTTTTCTCTTTCGCTTCTTTTATCTCTTCACCAGTTATCTCAAACGTCCTCCACAGAGGGTTCTCATCAGGTCCGTCTTGAACTGAGACTCCTTCATCGAGATAAGTGGAGAGGATTCTGACTTTCCTTTCCACCTCATCTGAGAAGTTCGAGAACAGCAAGACGACCTTCTTCTTCCTATTATGGACTACTTCGTTTATAATCTCTTGCTCTGTGAGATTATCCAAGTCTACTTCATAGTAAGATAACCTCTCTTCCAAGTTTAGTCCAACTTTACAACCAAATCTATCATAGGATAAGCACCAGAGATTTTCCAGGAACTCGGCGGCGGTTGTGACCAAGACAGTATCCTGCATCTCACTTGTCGTGTAGAACGGCAGCTGCACTTGTAGCACGCCTTCCCTTATCTCCATCCGATAGTTATTCATGAACTTATTGTGCGTAAGATCAATCGGAATCCCATTCATGAGGCATAGCGACATGCTGATCAGGATCTTTGGTCCCAAGGATGGTACGTGACAAACGTTCGAAAACTTGAAACACGGCCCACGCATCAATCCCTTTTGGCGAGATTCGACCGGATCCACGCCAGCCGTTTGAAACTGTCGTAGCTCGAACGCTTTGTCAAACAACAAACTAGAATCTCCACACATGTGCTTACTCGCGCCTGAATCGATGATACACCATCGAAGTTGCGTGCCGTTTTCGGTCGTAGTTGTGGGCGTTCTGTTGTCGTTCACGTTGAAAGCACTACCAGCTAACGGCGTAGTAGTACTAGGTGTTGCCAATGGGTTGTCTGTCGTAGACTCGAAGATGAGACCACTGAAGGACTGCTGTCCTGATCCCATATTGGCACTCACATGCTGACTCCAGTCATATGCTTCACTCTGGTTCACATAGTTAGCATGCTGCTGCTGCTGGTGACCTTGTTGTTGCGCTACAGGTTGCTGTGCCTGTTGCTGTTGCTGAACACTTTGATGATGTTGCTGCTGCTGATTTGCATAGAACACCTGGGGCGGATTCGCATTCATCATAGCGGGACTTTGGTACGGCTGATTCCAGAACGCTGGTTGCTGGGAGTGGTTGTTAGGTGGGTGCTGATTGTGCTGATTTCCACCTTTGCCACCATTCCACTGAGCACCGGCATAATTTTGAGAATTCGGATTCCACCTGCAGTTGATCGAAATATGGCCTGACTTTTGGCAAATGTGACATGTGCGAGTCTCCTTGCCTTTTCCACCCTTGTGGTTATGGTGGTTCTTGCTTGACTTGCCACCTTTCTGCTGGTGTGGCTGCTGATTTTTGCCACCACTAAAATACGCACTAGATGATGCGAAGTTCGAATACACATTGTGATCGTTGACATCTAATGCGGTATCAGATGCTGCCGGGGGCTCTCCGGTGAACAGCTTCTCTGCTTTACTAACCGCTTCAGCCAATTTCGACATTGAAGATGGATTATCTTGGATGATCATCGTTTTCGCTACGCCACAAGTTTGGCGCTGAGCCATACGACAAAGTTCGGCGTCATTGATCACACCAGGCTGCATTACGCATTGCGCCCTTTGGAACCTCTTGAACCAAGCAGATGGTCGCTCGTTTCTGCCTTGTTTTGTCCCTTCGAGGTCCGTGCGTTGCATCTCCTCTGACTCATTCTCACTACGGTAGAGATAGATGATCTTCGTCAGCTTGTCTTTGTATGATCGTATACAAGTGACTTCTGCCCGCTCCTTGATCTCCGTATATTTTTGGAGAATATCCGCTACTTCGATTTTGCCTTCGATACAATCCAAGACTTTGGAAGCGTGGTACTTCTTGGCTGCTGGTGCTAAGTATCGCCCGAATGATAGTGCGGACGATTTGTATGGTGGGATCTTGCTCATGTTGTTGTCCTTGTTGCTAGAAGATGAACTTTTGCCCTTCTTCTTCTTGTGGCTTTTCTTCTTGGCCGTTCTCTTCATGAGTTGCTTCAAGATCTTGGCGGATATGAGCACCTTCTTGTGAGATGAAGATGACTTTTTACCCTTCTTTTTCTTGGGAGAAGTTTTTCTCTTCTTCTTGTTCTTCTTGCCTTTTAGGCTCTTCTTCGGATCCTCATCGCCTTCTTCTGATTCGGAGGCAGATGATGAATCTTCTTCAGATGATGATCTAGAACTTTCACTATCAGAGTCCGAGTCGGATGATGAACTTTCGTCGACGGACATGTCTTCAGATGTTGAAAGTAGGTCTGGAAGGTCTACTTCAGCATCTTTCTTCTTCTTGTTTTTCTTGGTGCTAGCAGGCTTTGACGCGCCTGCTTCGCTAGCGAACACTTGGCCACTCTGATTAAAATCGTCACTGGCCTCCTTTTCTTCGAACACTGGGGCGCCTTCTGCTGACCCCTTCTTAACGTCCGTCATATCGGATGCGGCTCCTGCAGTAACTGAATCGGTATCAGGTGCAGCATCTGCAGGCCCATCGGCTTTCGCGGTTGAAGATGTTGCAACACCACTAGGGGTAGGATTCTTTTGCTTCTCCTTCTCCAATTTCTTTCGTTGCTTTTTTGTTAAACCAGTGGTAGCTGCGAAACTGGGCATAGCACCGCCACTAGCTGCTTGCTCCTCTTTTGCTTTTCCCATGGTTCTTTGTTGCTGTAGAAACGTAACCAAGCTGCGTTTTGGGCTCATAACTCTGTTAAAACAGAGATCACGAGAAGACAAAAGAGAGCACGAGGCAACCGATGCAGATGGATACTTTTTCTGGTCTTCGGTTGAACAGTAATAGCGGAAATCGCAGCGG